AACTATACAACTAAACAAATAAACAAATAAACATTTGTCGCAAGTTAAATTCCTGTTATTTCATACTGGCCTAGATGTTCTAGCTGTCTCAGAAACTCATTTGCCTCCAACCGTAGAGAGCTATGGAATCACTATTCAAGGATACCAGCTTCAAAGAAAGGATCGCCTCAGAAAAATCGGCGGCGGAGTTGCGTTTTATTTTAAAGATTCCTTAGATTGTATTTCAATTACAAAATATGATAATTGCGACATCGAAGCAACGTGGCTGGAACTCAAAGTCAAATCTCAAAGACTTCTTGTTGGCTGTATATATCGTCCTCCAAACTCTGAGGGTTTCTCCGATAAATTTCTTCCAATTCTTGAGAAAATCTCTGCGAGCAGGAAAAATGTCATCATCACCGGGGACTTCAATTCGAATATGCTAGACAACTCTGGAAAAGGCAAAAAGTTTAAAGACGTCCTGCAACTCGTTAATTTTAAAAATGTTATTAAGAATCCTACCAGAGTAACAGAACATTCCAGTACAATCATAGATCTAATTTGCACAAACAACATGCCAAAGGTTAATAGTGCTGGTGTTATCGATTTCTGCATCGCCGACCACAAATTTATTTACATTTCATTTAAGTTGGCAAAGTCACGCAATTCCCTTCCAGTAATAAAATACGTCAAGAACTTTAAAGGAGTTAAGGAAGACCCAAAATCTCTTCAGAACGACCTTGAAACCGCACCATGGTGGATTTGTTCTATTTTTGATGAAATAGACGACATTACATGGGCTTGGGAAACAATGTTTAAAGATGCTGTTGATCGCCATGTTACAAAACGCCTAGTTAAAATTAGACGGCATTCACTCCCATGGATGAACAGTGAAATACGTAAAGCCATGAATAAGCGGTATAAACTCTTAAAACTCTGTGATGGTACGCTAAATACCAAGCAATACTGGGAGGAAAATAAATCCGCTCGAAGTCAAGTCACTGCTTTATTAAGATCTGTAGTAGTAGCTGGAGCGNAGACAGCTTATCCGACGAGAACAAATACCTTCACCGTGTTTTTACGAAGAACAACTACAACAACGACTTCATCCGACGAAACACTCACCGACCCACTACCACTACCGAAACAAACGACACCGCAACCCCTACGACTACAGCAACCATACCGTACATAAAAGGCATGTCTGAAAACATCTCGCGCATCTTACTACCCTTCAATATCCGCGTCGCCCACAAACCCATCACCACACTACGTCAGTTACTAACCAACGTTAAAGACAAAGACGAACCGAGGAACAGACAGGGAACGATTTATAAGATCAATTGTTCCGACTGCCAAGCCTCCTACATCGGTGAGACTGGCAGAAACCTCACAACAAGACTGACTGAACACAGACGGGCGACGAGGAAAGGTGATGTCAGCAATCACATTGCTGAACACCATCGACTTACCAACCACAACATTGACTGGGACTCTGCGCAATGCCTAACCTACAGCACTGACTATTTTCAACGACTGACTCTGGAAAGCTGGTTTACTAACTTAGAACAGACTCCCCTAAACAGATGTCAACAACTACCCGCTCCATACAAACGACTCATTCACGACATAAACATCACAAACGACCGAGAAAGAACGACCTAACTTTACCGACAGATCGAAACAGACCAATCACGACCGACTTACGTCACCTGAGTCTTACAGCCAATAACATCACAGCAAAACCAACCGATCATTTCACAAGAACTGGAATAAGAACATTCTACTGACAACAATCATTCACTTGACTCTGATGATGACTTCCGCACAGGTTGTCGAGACGTCAGTCACTACCACCGACAACAGTCCTTCTCAGGACTACACTCACCCGGACAATCAGACTACACCTTCACTTTCTGCTCTTGTTAGTTGAACTTTTTTCAAACTTGGAACTGGTATTCTGCTTGGTTTACGATCACGTCTACATACACGATGAGATTTGAGTTTATGCTTCCCTCGATTAGCATTAAATAACATGTTTCTCGACGAAAGGTTAACTTCTAACTGTTCGCTCCTAAAGAGATCTCCAATAAGGTTCGCGGAACAATCCGTTTTGAAAACGCTGGACATCTCTTAGAGTGGGTCTATCCAAACGCTCTGTGTTTTTGTGTGCGTTTATAGCGTATTGTGTACAGTATCTGTGCCGATTTTGCATCGTAAGAAACTTTTCATCTGCCATTACACCATGCCTTGTGCTCATCACTCAAAACGTCGCGCTTGCGTGAGAGTCAAAACGTTGCGTACCGTGTTGAGGACTTGACTGAGATTTGCAACTGAACGAAAAAAAAAAAAACCGACAAAATTTCAACTTGAGCATTTCTCTATGTCGGCTCCTTCTGCATTCTTAAATTTTTTTTTTTGTCCAGCCAAATTTTCTCTGAGAAATTGAAAACATTTTTGATCGCAATTAAATAGACTCATTTCGCGGACAAAAGTGTATTGAGAACCTATATCAGTCTTACAACAGGTGCTTTTAGGAACTAATCACCAAAGAAAGATATTAGTTTTAATAGAAACTGCTAGGATGCTTTGGTTAGCAATTTAAAAGACACAATTCATCGTGAACCTGTAGTTGGCAATATTATAAAGTAGCCTTAAAAGGCTATTTTTAAAAAACGGACGGCTCCAGTGTTCTATCGTAGTTTACACAATGCCATTAGTAAAGTTATTTTAAGCACAGCTTATGAGTGATCTGAATCAAAAACCGAGCATCATCTAAAGAGCTTTCTATTCACCCACTTCTTAATAAAATAATTCCACGGGTTTTAATCTATAAAGAATTGTATTCTAATCGAAATTTAAAACACCCAGCGAAAAAGGGAAAGATCACTTCTAAGAAAAATAGATGTTACTCGTAACTAAATCATACATTAGACATTATGTTCTGGGTCATTCCTTTGTTAAGCGATTAAATCGAGATCTAAGGGCAGATTTTGACCGTAGGGCAACGATAGATTTCCAGCTTTGGAGCACAGCGTCGGTTCGCTTACATGGCGTGGGTGGCCGGACTGTAGACATACTTTAAGTCTTGATCAAACTTACGGCTGTCAGTGATTTGTTTTCACACGCCATCATTTTCTCAACTACACGGGAAGCCAATATTGGAAACTGAAAGAGGAGAATGAATTACAGATGTATGTTTCTTGTGTAATATTTTCCTAATTTTAATGCGTGAGATTTTATGAAATGTAGTCGAAATAGGCCCCAAAGAGTAATTTGAAGTCTGTTGAGAAATTTTGGCTTTCTAAGGTACACTCAACTTAACAAATGGTAAACACCACAGTGTACACTATTGAGTTATGGATGCACGCAGGAGGTTGCTAAAGACGAAAAAAGCGTAAGAGTCGCTCGAGGCGATAGCCGAGAGCGACTCTAGCTTCTTGAGTGCTTAGGAAACCTCCCAAGTGCATCCATAACTCATTAGTGTACGCTGTGGTGTTTACCATTTGTTTTATAACATAACATTGATACATAACATTGCCAAACCCTGAAATCGAATCGCTGGAGGTCTTCGTTTTGGCGGGATATACAGGGGTTAAAGTTGTCCCCATTGGCCTTCGCTTCGAACTGAAATTTATGTTTACCTTTTCCACATTCAACACAAATTTTATTTATTTATTCTGTAATTTTTTTTTAACCATTTTATTGGTGGCGAATAAACTGAGGCTCGAAATGGTGATCCGTCGCGTTTGGTAAATTCTCAGTCGCCACCCATGACCAAAGCCGATTTTCAACATCGTGCGCTAACCAAGCAGTGTTTACATATATCTTGTCCTTCCTATATCTGTTATGAATCCACCAAGTGAATTTTCTTCACCCTGCCAGTCGCATACTCCTTCGAAAGAGAAGCTAAAGGGAATTTAACACATTGCCAGAAAATAACCCAGACAGACACGGGCCATTAGAAGAAGAACGGCCATTAAGTCTGCTTTCAAATGCAATAAAAGACGACAGAGTGACAGTTGAAACAAAACTCGCGGAAAAGTTAAACGGACACAGTCACGGTCTACGCATGCTCGTGTAGCGGATCGAAACTTGAAAAAGTCAGCCTTACTTTTTCAAGTTGCATTCACAAATTCAAAGTGGCGTCTAGAGGAGGATACGGACATGGCGGTAAACGCATCAACCCAGGGCGGAAACGAAAGGTTGAAGACAGAGGGGGAGACAAGAGAGCGTGACTGAGAAACCATAAGCGTATTTATGTGGAAAAAAAGACATTTAAGTTGTGCCTGCAGGCAAAATTTGAAGCAGGTTATGAGTCTTTCAGTGACAGCGATTTTACCTATAGCGAATTAAAATAATGCTAGATATCACATGCATTTGTAGCATTTACAAGACAGATGTTTATTCTACCGCACATTATAATTGGAATACAGGCAAGCCTCGGGCGAACTCTTCGGCTTTCATAAATCGCTAGCGTTCATAATTATAGGCAGATGACGACTGCTCGTTCGAATCCTGAATAAAGGGAATACACAAACTATTTCATACGCTTTTTGGACATTCAAGCCACAAAAGAAGTGAATGTATACAACTTTATATGCATGTATTCAACTTGATAAGCATACCCTGTTTCTGCAAGGTTTATTGCTTGTTCCACGTATACATTCACCTGTACACAGCACGTTTCTCCCTTTGCACAGCCACCCACGAGAACTTTCTTTGCGCTTCGTCGTACAAGCGCTTTTACATTTACAAAAGATCACCGAAGGTTCCTCAGTAAAAGAAATTCACTTCCGTGAGCATTTGCTTTGGATAAACTTGATTTAAATGCAAAATATATGCAGAATTCTTCAACTCACCGATATTTCCATAATGGCGGTCGAGCATGACAAGTCTCGGAGAGAATGTATGCTACTGCGCATGTCAAACCGTGAGTGTCCCTTTAAGAGTGAAGTAGACAGAGAATACGTCACGGCAGTAAAATGCCGCCTCATAAACCTATTCTTTTTATTGTTTTTCTCGTTCTTGACTTAGTGTAATTCGTATGTTAAGAATGAAAAAGCTCCCGCGATCCTTTCTCTGGGACAGCGTGTAACAAGAAGAAGTTACTGGTATCGAAAAGAATAAAGGCCATGAAGCGGGCTGATGTGAGCGAGTTAATTTGGCTTTCGGTCAAAGAATATTTACCAGACGAACTTGCGCCAAATTCTAATGACGAAAAGTGTTTCGAGCAGAGAGGAGAGCGGAGAGGAAGCAACGAGCCAGTTTTTCTTGAACACCACCTAGTTACCAGTCTGGCACTTTAATTGATCCCTCCAAGTTCCTCCAATTCGTCAGCAGGTTAGCGCCGAGTGTATAGAGATTTCGGAAACTTTAGCAGGTTAGGTCCCTGTCTCAAGATGAGTATCATATTTATTTCTTTTTCGGTTTGGATCTTTAAACGCATCTTTACTAGCTTCGTTTTTGGATTCGGGTATATGGCGTTCGCCGCACAAGCGACATTCCAGTATTTAAGCCACAGCAGAATTTTTACTTCACAACACTTTATTCAGACTATTCATTAAATGGCCTCCTAGGTCTTCAACGAACATAGACAATCATAGCCTCAGCGCTTCCGACGTCAGCTTGAGAAATGAAAATAAAACATATTCACAAGTAAATAAAACATAGTAAACTATTCCTTGAGATTTCAATAAATAAACGATTGCCAAAATACCTAATTCACTTTTAGAGATAGAGGGAGAAGAAGACAAATAAAAAGCTGAGGATAAAAGTAATCTTTCCTGAATGACCTACATTTTATCCTTTCAATTTCCAATTGAGATTTTGCCTCAGAATATCACATTTGCAATGAATTTAAGTCAGACACCCAGAAGAAAAAAGAGTGAAAAAGGTGTCCTAAATTATCACTGTTGAGCCCCCGATTTATGGAGAAATAAAAGACACTGAAGAAATAAAAGAAGAGGGAGAATATAGAATACACTGGAGAAATAAAGACACTGGAGAAATAAAAGAAACTGAGAAATAAGACACGTGTTTCATGTTCTTGTATAGATATGATTTGTATCCTGATCACTCTTGTAATTTAGCTGTAAGCTACAAAAAGAGTAATTAAACTGATTATTATTATTATTATTATTATTATTATTAATATTATTATTATAACCCGAGGGAGAGTCGACTGGATCAGGTTAAGCTACGATTATTGCACAAAAACAAAATGAAAATAGTTATTCCATGCTGTTTTAATTCAAACAATAAAAGAATAACAAATAAACCATTCGATAAGTTCTGCCTAGAAGTTCCCTTGTTATTTCTCTCTTTTTATAACAAACAAACAAACAAACAAAACAATAACAGGTGTTTTTTTTTCTGGGAATCTTAAAGCAATTTCTACCTTGGGTATCATTCCATGTGATTTTGTGAGTTTTCTTGCTGTAGAGTATTCCTGGAACAAGGTGAAGGTTCTCCCAGTTACAGTAAGGTCCAGTGATCACCATCCACCCAGCGTCTTTCTCACATCCCCCGTAGTTGGCAGTTATTTCAAAGTTGCGTGACCCGTGATGGCCACTAATACCAAAGGTAAGAATATTTACCGCGTTCTTAAGATCCGTCCACGGTGACTGAAGTAGATTATGTTGTGAAAACCAGTCAACGTTAGTTGTCCCTCTGGCATTGAACTTCATAGAAATAACTTCTGCTCCATTTGCGTAAAGTACTACACGAACCTAAAGTCACACAAGAAAATTGTCTGTCATCTTCATATTAATGCATCCGTACATGCGTATAGAATTGGAAGAATCGTTCCTCAAACTCCAATGTCTTTCCCAAACACTTTAATTGAAGGATTCTAACATTTCATCGATCCTTTGTATGTCACATGATATGACTATGTAAACTCGAGGAAACAAAGTTTTGAACCAGAAGTTATTGTATCGGCTTGGTTTTGGTATAAATCTGCTTTGGCCACTGCTACCCTTGGTTCTAATCATCCTCAGAGCTTTTAAAGTTTCCAGGGTGAAGAAGAAACCTCGGCCTAATACATTGGTTTCTTCCTAAATTTCCTTTTCCAGGTCATTCCTAAGATTTCCTAACCCTCTGTTAAGTATTAGGGCCTCATGTTAGATAACTCCTTTGGTTAATGAGCGTCCCTCCTTAAATAAAGTTTATTGATTCATTGATTGATGTATTTGGTTTATTTGGCCTAACTCTCTGTGATGTAAATATTTTACGGACTTACCTCTTGAGGGTTAGAAGTTTGCCAACTTTGAACGAGACGGTTTTTGTAGTGACCTTGGTAGGTTGCAGTGGTATCTAAAGCAGCGGTAATATTTTCTGATAATGTGTCGGATGAATTCCATAATGCTTTGCCAGTCGGTAAAGAAGAAATGCCTCTGATGTATTTGAAAATCATCGTCCAACCTTGAAAAAAAAAAAAAAAGAACAAATCTCAGAAATAGTCCAGTACTCGTTTCTTCTGCAAAGCTCTAGAAACAGTTTTCCAATTGACTGCATTTCTGTCGCTAAAGAACAAGAGATAAATCAATAAGACCTGGACCGGACCTTCATTTTAAATTTTAAGTCCAAGGGCCTTCCTAAATAATTGTGTTAGCCACCTCTAAAAGAACTTCTTATATGGAAACTACTGTACTCAGTTAAAGTTTTGGCCAGTGTATTATATTACCAAAACGATCTCGTTTACCTGGACCGTTCAGTTAGTCTTTCAATGTATGCTGACGACCACCAACTCTGTTATGCGCATAGTAACAAAAATTTCCTTATGGAGAGGATCAAGTATGATGGGGAAAAAAGTTCGGCATGGTACAAAGAGAACCATTTGGTTGGCATCTTGAACAAATATCAAGCCATGATTATCGGAAGTGAACATAAGCCGTCTCAGCTGACGTGAGACATAAATGGCCATCTCATTAACATCCCTGAGGGACTTAAATTATTAGGTTTCACTGTAGACAAAGATCTGCATTTCTCAGAACCTATTTTAACCATTTGTAAAAAAAGCAAGTAGGTTGATTGGTGTTTTAATAAGGCTCAGGAAACTGATCCCTACCGAAGCCAAACTTCAGATATACAAGACAGCGATTTTACCCCAGCTTACATACTGCAGCCCAGTCTGGCATTTTTGTAAGGCGTCGGATAGAAAGAAACTGGAACGCGTGAACGAAAGAGGCCTCGGCGGTTTTCTGTAATTGGAATTTGTCTCATAACAAGTCATTAAAACGCGCTAATCTTACTTCCTTATATAATAAGCGTCATCAAGATATAGCAATATTCATGTTCACGGTCAAGCATAAGTTACTCCCTAAGAATATACTGGACTTATTCAGCGAAACGCCATCTAATTACCATTTGAGAAATTCTGATTTATATATCCCACGATTCAACAGTGTCAGGNAGAAGCATAAAGATGCGGGAATATTGGCCTTACTTGATAAAAAAAACTTGGAATACCTTGTTCAACATTCTCTCCCCCTAATCCTTGTGGACTGACACAACGGTATCCTTTTGAAGTAAAGCCAGCTTGACAAGTTGAATTACTCTGCCATGGGCTGCTTTCACAAGGATTCTTTGATGAAAAAAAGAAAAAGAATCAGTACTTTTACTTCTTTATGTGCTAAGATCACACAGGGTTCTTAAGGGATTATTCTCTTTACTCTCGTTTTTTTTTAATTATCATCACTATAATTTTGAGAGGTCATCAGATTCATTATTTCGAGAAAGCATTAAACCTCCCAAAGATTCACCTGGTCTCTAACATCTGGGAAATTAATTTACGCCGTGAGCAAGGTCTGTTGTACGCCGCCCCGCGTTTTACACATCTTAATGATTTGTTTTCCTCCAAACTTGTACCCGATGGATACTTCAATATCGCCTAACTAGGAGAGTTCTAGTAATCAGGCAAAAACATGACTACCTTTTCGTTCTGGTTTATTCTCTGTGTAACTTAGTTAGTTATAGATATTATATATACAAGGCTAAAAAGATTAACAAAAATTATCGAAATGTTAAAACCAAACGTTTTCGGCTGTTTGCCATCATCAGGGTTGAAAGTGATGAGCGTCTGTACATACATATATATCTTTTGTGATTCCCGATGGGAAAAGTTTGGAGACATAAGAAATGACTTGTTTGTTCAAACTGGGGCGGAATTGTTGGATCATTAGCCCCTCGACGATCCTACGCTTAGTTAATTATGTCAGATGAGGTTTCAACGGAAGAAACTTTGATTGTGTTTTGTTGAAAGACTTACCTCAATTCCTCGGTAGCTGTAGCCATTTCTGATAATGAAATTTTCGCTTGAGGTTTGTAGATGTGTGCTGTTATTCAGTTCACATAAAGGAGTGTCACTCAGAACTGGTCCGTAGTTGTAAGACACACAGTCGGGGTCCTCAAAGCATATCAGTTCGCAGCTTTCTTTATTCGCTACTTGTATGGTTTTAATCATGTGATTACGTAAATACTTGTCTATGTTGTCTGGCTTAAATAGAATGACTCTGCACTCATCTGAAACAACCAATCATTCACCGTAACGAATCAACATTTTAGAAAACTATTTTTCATCCAGCGGAGCTCCAACTTGGTAATTACCTCGTAATTACCAAGTTGGAGCTCCAAACAACTTATTTAGTGTAAGAAATTAACCAAAATCGCGTTGGCGTAAAAGAGATCAGGGTTTCTTTGATGCTATGTTTACTTCTTGTAAATATGTTTACTTTTTGGAGGGTCAGAAGATTGAAATAGTGATGTTTGATTAATTTTATTACAATAGCGATTTCTTGTAAAGAGGAGAGTCTCCCTTACCCAAAATCGGAGACAGGGAGTCAGATGTCATTCACCTGAAAATTTTTACAGGTATCTCAGACAAATATTAAAAACACAACCCAATTTTTTTTTCAATATCTCAAAAACCGAAATTTTATTATTTTCCAAAAAAAAAAATACCGTTTATCATTTAGGCGAAAACTTTGTCTTAAGCTCCATGTGAATGTTATTTCAAACATTCCAGTTAAATAAAGAAAAAAAATTTTAATAGTAGATTTCTCTTTTCTCCCAGATTGGAAAAGGAATTACTTGAGTATGTTACTTAGTTCTTGGTTACTTTTGCCTTAATTACTCGTTAAAATAAAGCTGTTCTGTTTTGTTGGTGACGAGAATCCCATTTGTATTTCGCTACAGGTGTCTTGCTAATGGCTGTTTCGTTTATGAAAACATAATTCGTTAAGGTAATTTTTGACTTCGGTTTAGTCTTAAATACCCGCAAATAACGGTTCTCTTCGAGGCTGGGAAATGAGTTTGTAAATGCTACTGTGGCAATTAACTGAGTTGGTACCCAAAGTTAGCTTGAAAATGTTTCCTTTTCATCCGTTTAAACGAAGATGACGCACGATAATTACACGTACACGTCAGGCTAAGAACCTCTAAAATGTTCTCATAAGTACCTTTCTTAGGTTACGTCTGCAGAGTTGTGTTTTCACTCGAAAATTATACGGTAGGCCGACGTAGCTCATTTGTTTTTACAAGGCTTTCCTTCTGTGCTATAAGGCGCCTAGTGAAAGTATTCTTGTTAAATGGCAGATAAAAACTCGTCATTTATTAATGAGCGAATGTTGCCATACACCAAGGCCCCACAGTTCTCTTACGATATACTATCCTACCACTGTAAAAGGTAAAAGAGAAATTAAAATGTCCGGATGTGCTTCCCGCTAATTTCCTTTGCACCGCACTTTTTCCTTTCTTCAACAGGTTGCGAAATAGATATATAAAAGAATAAATAGTGGCCAATTCAAACAAGCCAAAACAAAGGATCAAATTTAGTTCCATCAGAGAATTGAAAAGCCGCCATCTGTAGCTTTGCAACAAATATTAAAAACAAAACAACATTGAGACCATAGCTCTATTTTCTGTAGGCAATCGCGCCCTCTTTTATGTTAGTAATGAAAGAATCAACTCCTGAATTTTCATTTTGTCACAGGGCATACTTGAATAACTAACTTTGTGACCAGATATCATCATTTAACACAGCTCTAGTAACAGAAAACACATCGAAGCGACAGACATAGCTCAAAGTCGTATAGACACTTGCTTAAGAGCTGTTCAAATGAATATATCCCAGTTATACTTAGCTTTGCAACCTTTTGCTAACCTCCCGGTTTGCTCAATGGATAGAGCGCTGGACTGTTGTGCGGGATGTCGAGGGTTCGAGCCCCGGCCGGACCAACACTCAAGGTCTTATAATAATTGAGAAGAATATGCTGCCTTTCTATAATATCAAGAAACGGTTAGATATTCTAGTCTTCTCGGTTAGGGACGAATAAATGGAGGTCCCGTCTCCTACAGGGTTAGGGGAAGGAGACGTTAATTTCCCACGCACGAGATTACTGTGTGATGGATGTCCTCCCCTGGGGTGGGATGGATGGGTTACTGAGCCCGCAGTGATTGGCGGAAAAGCTGTTGCGGTTGTCGGCAAATCTTGTAAATAAATAAATAAATAAATGAATAAAGCTTAAGATTACCTTCAATGAATTATTTTCGGTCCTCATTGATTGACAAGACAATGGCCGAACATCATTCCAGCCATTTAATCGGGTCTTGAATTATTTTAGGCCTGTAGAGGCCACATTTGCGAAACGTTTTTCGTTCATTCTGGAGGAAATCCAGTTTTTATTTTCAATTTGAAGTTACCTTAAAGTATCATCTTGGTGGTTAAGAAATTGCCTCTTGATTGCAATCGATGTAGATGTGGAATGTTTAGACTTTTAAGAACCTGTCCACCTGAAAACCATGCAGACGAGTCTACACGACCCTCCATTCATTTCAATGGTTTTCCCAGCTTGAACAATTGTCTATCTAAGCAATTACAAAAATAAAAGTGTGTGATGTTTGCATCTTTAATGAAGAAATTCCCTTGAAATACAGCAATCCGGCGTGCCTGGGAGGGTCACGTGACACGTGCCAGACTATCGTAATACACAGCTCGTTTATTTTTAGGTCCCCATAATGGAAGGAAAACTTCGAGAGACCCTTAGAAGTATTTCGAAAAACCATTTTCATGTTTTCCAGTTTTATCTTATCTAAAAATCATATGGGAAGCCCGGCCGCTTTTATTTTATTATTTTTTATTGCACCGCAACTTCTAGGCCTTTTTAAGTAAGAAAAGTTCTTATTTGTTTGCAGTAAAAAATTTTTACTGCAAAAAGTAATGATCAAGTATATCGAAAAGGCAAATTCAAAATAGCTTTACTATTTTTATTTTCCGACGGCATTACTTTGGTAAAGCACTGAGAGAATTCTTTGACACGCACAGACACCGACATTTACTACGCTTTCCATTCATAACCATACCAGCAGACATTTCGTAAAGATTTTAAATGTGTTTGTTCTTTTAAGCAATATTGTAAGAGGAATGTAACCTTTTTACTCGAAACAAGAGCGCTAGATCTATTTTATTGTTAAGAATTGTTCTAGCAGCACAAAGGAGCACTTGTATGGTTGCTTCCAGGCTTCTCGGGAGACAGTAAATTATGTTTCTGATGTTTTGCTTGGGATGGGATGTGATGGGATGGCGGCCAAGTAAAGTTTGTAAATATCCTGAGCATCAGAGCAAACAGAAACTGTACAGAGGGATATCCAGTGAGATGTCGAGAAAATATACTTACACTTCGGTGTGCTTTGCGAGACTGAACAAGTAACTCATTGTAATAATGCTGTGTTGGAATACCGGCTACTTTTTGAAATGAACACAGCATTTGCTTAGTTTTGTCATGCTTCCGAGCTAAAATAGTATTATTATTTTGGTTTTCTGGAGATATGTAGGAAATGTTTATCTAATTACAGCGAGACTGTGCGCTGCTCCTAGGAGACAACTCGTGATACACAGGTACTATGAAATATTAAGGCTTTTCTAAACCGGTAGTCATCCCAATAGATTCAGTTTTAGGCTTTTATGCAACGATAAGGCAACACATCATATACAGTTTTCCTTTTGATAAGTTCTGGCAGCGAGTGTCAGTCGAATATATTAATGTATACTATACTCTATTTGCAAGTGGGGTGAGGAAATGGAAAGTCATGAAATCCTGAATTGTTTGCAGAACCGGTAACTATGAAATGAATTATTTACAAGCGCAATAAACCGAAATTAATTGTATGCAACCCAGCAAATAAATTTTTTGCTGCTGCAAAAAAGAAAATAATAAGTTGTTTGCATGCAAGATAATTTTTGTCTCCCCTCCTCCATTCAGAGAAGTAATGGTCTGTCAGGGCACGAGTGAGTATTTTAACAGCTGCACCTACAACATTAAATTGATTACGTAAGCGTAAGACCGGCTAAATAAATATAAAACGATTAAAAAATATGTGAACATCGACAGTGCAGAAGCGCGCAAAGCATTATGGATGTACTTTTTGGGAAGGATAGGTTGGAATAAAAGAGGACTTATTTCCGTCAAACTATCAGCTAACTCTGTGAACACGCTTTAAGCTAAAGAATCACGAACTCTCGCATGCGGGGTTTTCTGGAAGGGGGTTTCTTTAGTCTGGTCCTTCAACTCATGCCTTTTTGTGCCGAGGTTCCCCCTTTTCATTAAAAAGCCTGCGGTGTGGTAAGGCTGGATTGGAGGTGACATTAGGGAGAGGCGCATGGGCAGCGAAACTGAAAATAGCGTTTTTGTTCTAGACTTTTGGAAAGGGTTTGGGATGAATCAGATGTAAAGAAATAGATATAATATTCCCCGACCCAAACAAAAGAACAAAATCAAATCAGCATTTCTGCTTCAGAAACACCAATGGGGGAGGGGGTAATTCTCTGATAATAATACCCTGATACCTTGGGTGCTCTGTGGTACTATTAAAAGATCGACGTCGATGATTAAAGACCCCATGTAAAACATTTTATCTTATCTATTCAAACGACTGATCATCCAAACAAGTTGCCAGTGTGAGTCTTGAAAACTCTCTGAGCAGTTTGCAGCCGCAGCCATCATTCTAAGGTGCTGCATACGGTTGAGTAGATAAAGTCAGCCATCGGCCGGTAGTTTCCGGCGTACACCAGGCTTGGCAAGTGTACCTTTACTAGCACTCTAAATTTGATTTATTTCATCAGGTACATTTATAAACCTAATATTGTGTATTCAAATATAATATGAGCCCAAAATGTCTTCACCAGAATTAGTGACATGTTTAACCAGATGTCAACAGACCAGGGTCATAGTCTCCATTTGTCATTAGCCCGTGGTAGTGAGCGAAATGCCGATACAAAATATCTGTTTCGCAGGGTAATACCTACGTAACTTCACACAGATATTATCACCTCTATGTACTCCTAAACAAATAAAATTTACGGAAATGGAGTAGTTTTGAGCAAAGTCACGGCCGCATCCGAAATATTTTAAGCGATTTTCACTAGAAATTCGAATCAGGAAAAATCTCGATTTTTAAAGGTCTTCGTAAAACATTAATATTTTCGAACATAGTTATCGCATCCTCTTCAAATTTAGTTGATTCGAATCAGTATACTATTCATTTGAAATTGGCAAAGATTATTAATTACATCTGCACCCAATAGTCTCTGAGCACGTTTTAAGCTTCATGGACGAATTTTCCACGATTTTACTTAAAATTGTGTGTCGTTTCACTCGAACCACTTTATCTCCTGAACTGTTCGGACTTTGGGAAAAATATTTGGCAGGCTTTTAACTTGGACTAATACGATTATGTACACAAAATAGTATGAAATTCTGGAGGGTACCATGTAGACTCAAATTTTGATATTGCTTGGATCTCACGTGGACACGTTCTTAAAAGAAGTCATACGTTGTGGTGAAAAAATGAAGAACGTCAAGGCTTTCCTAAAATTGTTGAATAAAGTTTTCTTGTTTTTGTTTTTTTTTTTTGTGGCAAATACTATCATAAGATGAAAACACGATTATGTAGATTTCGTTTTTTGTTGCAGGTGGCTTATTAGTGCTTTTTCGTTTATAAAAAACATCCTTTGTTTAGAGAATTTTTAACCGGTTCTAGCTGCAATTACTAGTGCCGGTAATTAACGGCTTTGTTTCTTCTCTTTCAATAAGCAAGCGAGGTAGCACACTAGGAGCCAACGAGTTCTCTAAAATTTTGACGATATACTATCCTCCCACTGTAAAAGATAAAACAGAAATGTCTGGATGTGCTCTTTGCTAATTTTCGTCATATTTTTGTGATTTCTTATACAATGCGATTTCATCGCACCGCACCCATTTTTCTCATAAACAGTTTACGCAACACATAATGTTGCGTAAACTGTTTATACTAAATTATAGTAAATGCAAACAAGCTAAAGCAAAAGGATTAAATTCAATTACTTTATAGAACTCAAAAGCCGTCCTTTGTAACTTTACAGAAAATATTGAAAATACAATATAACGATGAGATCATAGTTCTATTTCTTGTCACCTGCGCAATCTTTTATGTAAGCGGTGAGATAATCAGTTTTCACTTGTCTTAGAACATGCTTGAATAACTAACCTTGTGACCAGACAACCTCTGGTATCACTGAGCA